GCCGGCTCTGTCAGAGTTGCTATACTTATTGGAAAAAGTTTGGAGGACTTAAGTATTCGTCTCGAATCGGTATTATTTACGATAATATGAAGTGTTTTGATGTCTAGTATTAAAAGCAATGCTTACCTCAGATATCGACAAAATCAATTCGACCGCCAGAGCACCGACCGATCAACCGAACTCTCAATATCCATGTCGTGAATGCAATAAAGTATTTAATAGACAAGGTTTGACTTGATTTGAATTGAATGATGACGTGATTAATTGCAATTGCATTGACACCTACAGAGCGATTGGCGTCACACATGGCGTCCCATCGGCCCCATCGCTGTACAATCACTAACTGTGGAAAAGAGTTTAAATTTAAAGCACATTTGGCCCGACATTGCGCTACTTCTCATGGATTAGCGATGAGATCTGGAAGTCCCCGACCAATCATGAAGACTAGGGCCGCCTTTTATTTGTGCGCAACTCTGGCCGCACGTGTGGCCCGACGTCTTTGCTCAAAGGTCTTGAGACCACGACACGCGACACGCAATCCGTTTTTGCCCATTAATATCAATGCCATTCGTATCGAATGTAAGTACAATGCGTTATAATCCTAGTTATCAAATAGTAATGTCTATAATTGTTGCCCAAAAGGTGCGACAAAGTTTGCGAATGGCATTCCACCCATGCCTAAGACAAAGCCCATCGAAAGGGGAAATGTTCGCACCATTTCCCATAGATTGGGAACTCCAGAAATGATTACGCCTACTTGGCTTATATCAACTCCAAAGGATCAATTGCCACAACCAGAGAGACTGGCATTTCCACCGCCGCCCAGAGGAGAAGGTGTGCATTGATTTGCATTGCTTTTAGTACTTTATTAAGGCCTATATTTGTTGAATAGACGGTCAATTAGTATTACCGCGAATCGTAGCGCCGCCGCCGTCGTCAACACCTGAAGAATCAATTAAGACTCAGTGGGGAATCAATAACTTGTCTCCCATTATGTTAAAAAGGCGAACGTACGAACAAAACGGTATTTTTGCTTATTTTGAATGCATTGAATGCAACTTTGGTTAACCACTTTTTATATACCAATTAGGGTCTCCGGTGCCGCTGAAGAGACGCCAATTAGCGCCGCCCAGTATTCTTGGCAAAGCTGTTCCCGATTTTTACGGAATGACAAACAGAAATACAATCATCACTCCAATGAACGGAAGAGCAAAAGTGGCAACAATTACGAGAGTTGGCGGACGTAAGCAAATGATAAGTTGGGTCGACGCTCCCGACGACGTCTACTTCGTGGCCACTGACTCGACCCGGTATTGACAGTATATTCAATAAATCTTGAAAACGTTTTATTGGTTTGTTTTTATATTTGCAGTAAACTTCGTCGACAACTAATCCCGGGAGAGTTGAAACGCGCGGCCCGTAGACCGTGGAGGAGATGCGGGAAAGCCTTAAGTGTGTCGAACTCTAACTCAAATAACACGACCAATAATACGACTAATAATAATACCAATAACTCGAACTCAATCAACTTGTCTTCAAATAACGTTCAACTTTTTGCAAATCCAGTCAGTATTGCGTGAATAGTAATAATGTTTAGATCAGCGAATGGGACAAAAGGGACGGCAGTTTTCATACTTATTAATATGATATAAACGACTAAATGCTTTCAATCGACTCGTACTTAACATGAGAACCATTGACCGCATCTCTATATTTGACGATAAAAAGACTGCTAATTGAATGCGAAAAGTGTTGTCATAAAACACTGATTTAAAGTCCGCGCCTTTTCTTAAGTGTTATTACTTCTGAATTTCAATTTATATTCAAATAATCAAGAAATGGGACAGAAATGGATGATTCTGTCAGTGCTTTGATTGTAATTACAAAAAAACAGACCTCTAATGACTTCTAGAGAACCAAAATATCTCTCATTTAAAAACTGTTATTCATTTCCCATCACAACTTATATCCTCTATTTCACAAGCATTTCATTCATTAATTCATTCATTCATATTGTGATCATTAAAATAACAAAGTTTTTCTGATAAAACAAAACCATTTCAAAAACTATTTAAATTAAAACAAAGTTTTTTAAATTCACTCAATCGACGACAAAATGTGAGAAACAAAACGAGTGATTGAATTGATGTTAAAATTTATTCATTTTATACCCAATAATAATATATTTGTAAAAATAATTTAAAAATGAATTGAACAGAAGAAGAAGTGTATGATATTATGATATGAAGAAAATGTCTGAGAATTTAATTATTTTTACACCAGTTATGGATTAGAAGCTAATGAATGGCATTGAATTCGATTGGAGTTTGTTTTGGTGCTAAACCTGTTGTAGACAATCGAAGACAAGCCAGAGATTACTGCAAACAAATCGCCCATCATTTGTATAATTAGATCATATATTATATACAATTTATTTATAATATTCGTTGCTTTGGGTTTTCAAATGCAAACAAACAATAAAATGCTTTTTTATATTTCGATTTAAAAACCATAAAAAGTAATTAAAATACAAATTTTAATAGTTTTAAGTTTTTATGAATTAATGAATTTTGAAATTTCACTTTTTATCAAATTTGTAAATAAAATGTCAAAACAAATCAAAGATTCAAAACGACGAGCCATTAGACACTACACGTGAATAATATTTTTAAATCAATCTCTTTCTGTACACACTTTCGGTCTTTGATTTACCACTTTTTAAAATGTTTATTTTTGTCATGAATTAAATATAATTCAAATAATAGCAAACAAATTATAATAAATTAAAAGGGAGTTAATTATTAAACATTTTTAAAATGATTGAATTTATTTATAAAAATAACAATTTTATGATAAATGACTTATTCTTTGTGTTGATTTACTTGAAGTCAAGGATCGATAATTGTTTGCGAATGCATTGTATTGACAAACGATTGAAAAGTTTGATTAACAGTTATCTCGAGTTTGGAGTCCACTTGACGTTCACTCGATTCCCCATTCAATGCAAGTCTTCATTCGGTGTAATGTCTACAACAAAAATGAAAGCTTTTCTCTCACCTCTTGTTATAATTGTATTGATTGGTTCCTGTTTTGCTGTCACAAGAGATGATCTCTTCCCGTTTGGTGACCAAAATGATGACCAAAAGCTTACAGCGGATGCCGACGACGTCTCGTCACCGGAATTTCAGTTATCAGTTCCGATCGTCTTTTATAATACTATTTATAAATCACTTTTTGTGAGTCTAACAATTTAACCCGCATTTGGTTTACTGTACTTTCAATTCATATATGATTTCAATATGAAAACAGGTTAACGACAACGGAATCATATCATTCTTGACTGAAGTAAGTCTGAGTCCATTCATTGCCAAAACACGGCAACTCATAATCGTTGCATTAGTTGTTTTAAAATATTCATCAAATAAATGATTTAAATGCCATCACAGGTGCCCTCGTTCTTCAATTCCCAGTTCCCGCTCTCTTATCCCATAATAGCTGTCATGTATTCAGATGTGGACATAAGAGGGAACGGATCGGTCTTTTATAGGTTCGCAGCAAAACTTCAAAATTATTGTTATAATTATTAAATTAACATTAATTAAAAATATAGAGAAACAAAATCAGGGGAATTGTTGGAGAGAGCGAACAATGATATTGTCCGACACTTTTCGAGAGCCCAGCACTTCAGAGCCCAATCGCTGTTTATAGTGACCTACACTAATGTGGGCCGATATAACCAAAAATCATTGCCCGTAATATTTTCAGTCCAATTATAGATTTGGGATTAACAGTGTTTTTTTAAAATAAAGACTAATACGGCTCAAGTGGTGATCGCGACGAACGGTAACGAAAGTTATGCCTACTTTCTATACCCCGTGAATGGGATTCAATGGATCCAAGGAGACGGCAAAATCAGTAATTTACCCGATGCTCGCACTCAGTCAGGCTTTATGTCTGGCGACGGACGCGTCTATACACTCNCGACGAACGGTAACGAAAGTTATGCCTACTTTCTATACCCCGTGAATGGGATTCAATGGATCCAAGGAGACGGCAAAATCAGTAATTTACCCGATGCTCGCACTCAGTCAGGCTTTATGTCTGGCGACGGACGCGTCTATACACTCAGGGGCTCCGGAACCGAACAGATCCGCAATTTCGATAGGTTTAGCGTCTTTTTGACTTTTTTTAGGTGTTTATATATTTATTAATCAATGCATTTTCAACAGAATGTCAAATGTATTTCGTGCCGGGCTTTGGCTCTTTCAGATCGGAGATCTCGGAACCGGTAATATTGTTGAGCCCGATGTGGACGGCGGGTCAAGGCTTCAAAAGCCCGAACTGGACACGTGTGCGACCGCACAACTTCCCTGTCCACCGAACGCAAAGTGCATTGACTACGCAAATGGGTTTTGTTGTCTCTGCGCTGAAGACCACTTTGGAAACGGAAGGCAGTGTTTGGCCAATAGTATGTCTCAATATTTGAGTTTTGATTATTTGTCTCAAAAATCTAATCTCTGTGTCCTCTAAACCATTTATGCCTACTTTCTATACCCCGTGAATGGGATTCAATGGATCCAAGGAGACGGCAAAATCAGTAATTTACCCGATGCTCGCACTCAGTCAGGCTTTATGTCTGGCGACGGACGCGTCTATACACTCCGGGGCTCCGGAACCGAACAGATCCGCAATTTCGATAGGTTTAGCGTCATTTTTTGACTTTTTTTAGATGTTTATATATAGTTTATAAATGCATTGTCAACAGAATGTCAAATGTATTTCGTGCCGGGCTTTGGCTCTTCCAGATCGGAGATCTCGGAACCGGTAATATTGTTGAGCCCGATGTGGACGGCGGGGCAAGGCTTCAAAAGCCTGATCTGGACACATGTGCGACCGCACAACTTCCCTGTCCGCCAAACGCAAAGTGCATTGATTACGCAAAACCCAAAACAACAGAGACGCGACTTCTGGTGAAACCTTTGCCTTCCGTCACAAACCGGTTATCATACAGAGTTATAAACTCAAAACTAATAAACAGAGTTTTTAGATTAGAGACACAGGAGATTTGGTAAGCAACTAATTTCAAGTTCATTGCCATAGATTTGAAACTCTTTTTTGTGCAAAATATCGACACAAAAGATAAGAACTTTTATAAGAAATTCTTTAAGTTTTGGATCCTTAGAAACGAATAATTGCCACTTTATTATAAATTTAATTACTCCATAGACTTAACATTAACTCTAATGGAACGATATAGCCTTGTTCCAATGATTTTCGATTACCCACATAGAATTACATAATGTAAAAACCGCGTATTAATCCTATAATGAAACCCCGCGTTAGTTATCATGAATATTATATAACCGACAATTATATAGTACTGAAAAATTGGTGTCAATTAATAGACTTTTAGTCAATACAATACTTGATTGAAACGTATTGTCACATGTATTTTGTGTGATTTTGTCTGAAGTATTATCACTGACTAAAACTGGAGACAACTATCCCTATAACCAAATAAACAAATCATTATTTATTTAGCGTTAATCTAATCTTATTGTGAAAATATTTGAGCTCTCATTTGGGAATACAATTACCATTCCTTTCAGACACACCTTTGCGTCTCAACGGGAAAGTGAACGCAAAAATCAATGACATTATCATCGATGGCATCGATTTGCACGCATATATTGTGGCAGATGAGGGCCGAACCTATACAGGTGTCAAGACATGCAATTACCACACTTTATAACAATAAATCTCAATAAAACAAATTCTTGTCATTTATAGCGATTAGTCGTATACCAAAAGAACAACCGAAACTAAACGTTTGTGAAAAATGCTAACCAAGACAGCAGCCTACCGAAAAGCGCAGGTGTTTTAGGCCACGAGGGTTACCCAAGTGTTATTGGCCATTAATCAAACCCCAAATAATATTCGTAAACTCGATTAAAATTAAAACAATGTTTGATTGCCTCTAATTTGATCCAAAGGCGGAATATTTAACAGATCAGCAGAAGTGGACTTTCCACAGACGGGTCATCGTATTTATATAACTGAGCAATTTCTAGGACCAGATGTTTTTAATTTTCTTAAAGTTAATTTACAAATCCGGGGTTCTATGCCATCGGTTCCCTCGATGTCCAAAGTACTGGTCGACGACTTCTTGGAAGAGTTTACTCGAGTGTCTGCGGGAGTGATCCGTTCGCACGCAACCCATTCGTTCAGATTTGGCGAAACCTCGTTAAGCATTCCTATAGTTATCGACCAAACAATTACTTACGAAGAATGCGAATTCGCGCCCATCGATGACAAACTCTCTACACTTCAGTTAGCAATCGCTCGTAATTTCATTGTTTATGATAAGGAGGAACAGATTGTGAGATATGCGTCGACCAGTAAAACATCCTTCTTATCCGGTCAGTAGTCCTTAAGATGAAGCGCTCAATGAAATCGTCAATAATATATATTACGATATATAGCTGACGACCCGTGCCGTACGGGTAGTACACAATGCGGTACTCATAGCAGTTGTGTAGTCGAGGGCTTAAGTTTTAAATGCATTTGCGATCGCGGATATCAAACTGATTTCATAACTGATGCTCAAAACGAACTCAGAGTATCCAATTGTATTGGTTCGTTGATTAGCACTACATTTGATTGCTTTTTACTAATTATGTGCCATTAATTCATAGATATAAACGAATGCAGTTCTTCGAGACAACACGCGTGCCATTCATTTGCTGATTGTATTAATATCGAGGGCTCGTATGCGTGTCGATGCAAAGCCGGCTATACTGGCGATGGATATCAGTGCCAGAGTATTAAACAGTTTCTTTTATAACTTTTATTTATACAATTCTTTGTTAATAAATGTAATTAAAAGTTGTTATGTTAACCCATTTTAGAGGAACAAAGATGTGAAAGTCTAATAACTTGCGGACCAAATGCACAATGCATTCACTTAGAGCAGAGAAACCCTGAGTGCAAATGCAAACGTATTTACTATATTTTAATACTTTTGGTGACAATTCACACATAATTTTATTGATACTATAGACGGATATGTGGGCGACGGACAGGTGTGCAGGAGAAGCGACAGAATAGAGTCAGAGACAGAGGACTGTCGCACTTATAACTTATGTGATGTAAACGCCGAGTGTTTGGCAAATCCGTCGACACAACGACACCAATGCTTCTGTAGAGCGGGTT